TTATTTCTTATTAAAATCATAAATTTTTATATAGAGAGAAAATTTCAATTTTCACTATATTTTATTAGTAAATTTAGCTCCTGAGTCATTACTTTTGGTTGTCACTATATGCTTAATTAGTTATTTTTTTCTTAATTATAATAATAAAAATAGATTTTATAAATTTTATTAAGTAAAATAGTATCTGTTAATATAAATAAATCTGAATATTATTTTATTTTTGATAAAATATTAGAAAAATATGTCAAGCAAAATATCAAAAGAATACTTAAATCAGAAAATGAATTAAAATTATAAATAATATCAATAAAACCTAAATAAGAATATTTAAATATGCTTTAAATAAATATATAGAAGAAAACTATTTAATACTTTATTTAATGCATTGGCCATGCAAAGTTGATGCATCACTTTTAATTATTTGATTTGATTGATATTGCTTTTTATTATTTTGTATTATTTTGATATTGTATTGCCTTTGTTATTTGATATTAATTTTATTATTTTGTTATGAATTCTATTATTGTTTAGGAATGAATTTATATTTTTTATTAATTATATAGAGTATTCTCTAATTATGTTAAATTTTTGAATCTTTGAATTTAAATTGTTATTACAACTTTATCTTTGCACACTGTACAATCTCCGTGGAAGGGAGACCTTAGCAACTTAATGGACTCTACTTAGCGTGAAATCATTCCATCTAGCTCACAATCCTTGTTGCATTTACAATTCTTTAGTCAACCTAACGACAGTATTATATATTAGATCGTATTCTCGTATTTTTATTATACTTCAATATGTATTACGTCACCGTTAAACACTATATAGTAAATTAAAATTAAAATTTAATCTAAATTCAGTGCTTGATTAAACGATGTTACAGTTAATAAAGCTTATATTTGGCTGATATTAATTGAGACTTATTCGTGTTAATTTCGCGCGACAGATGAACATATCCATGCATAACGAATATTTAAATTGCTTTAAATATAATAATGGATACGTTGTATAACGGTTCCCGAGATGCTTCCAAATCACTAATCTATAATTTTCTTTATATATAGAAAAATGATTAAACCTGGAAGTTGCTCATTTAGATATAAGCGGGATTGATTCCAACATATCAAAGGAAACATTTGATTTCATAGACAAAAAAATTAATTTTTCAATTTAAATATATTGATGAATTTTATCTAATGGAATAATCTCAGTATTAGAGGATCAAGTCTGAACCATAATGTGCAACATAAGAGTGTGTATGTTGGAAAAGTTTCGTTATTAAAATATAGGTGAAAACGTTCACCGCCATTACTTCTGTCCTTGACTGTATAACAAAAAATAAAATCATTTTAATAGAAAAGTAATTTCACTTACAATTTATTTTACATACTGGTTTTGTAAAATTAAACGAAAATTAAACAATTTTTTATTTTATTAAATCAATTTTGGCACTATCAAATACTTGGAGCGTAATTGAACGTTTTGGTTCATACTTGCAATGTTGTCTTATGTGAATGTGATCTCAATACTAAAAGAAATCCTAGAGATTGTAAGACAGGCCGAAAAAAATGGCACAAGATACGGAAGTTTGCGCGCTAAGTTGGAGACGCTTGAAGCTCGTTCTCGTCTTCGTTTTCGTCATAATTCGAGTAACCCATTTGGCGAACAAAATACCGAAAATTTGATCATTGCATTGAAAAAAATTCATACATTTTTAGAGGAATCCAAGAAATCCAAAGGCAGATTCGCCAGATGATAAATGTCAAACAGGTTAATACAATGTAACCGACCTCACAGGTTTTATTACTGACTGATACACCGTTATTTGATATTTAGATTGCAGCCAAGATTAAGGAATTGGAAGAGGAGTTGGATTCGGCTCTAATCGCAATCACAGCCTTTATGGCAGTACAGAGACCTTCTCCCCCTCGCTCTCGCTCTCTCTCTCCTAGATGTTCTATTATTTGACAGTTTGTAGGTGGTTTAAACAATAAATATTGCCATTTTTAAATTGAATATATAAATTAAATATAGGTTATACTCCCGGGTATTAATCAAAAATTAGGCCAGCATGGTGGTGAAAAGTGCTCGGACTAGAACTGGACTGTCATATTCAAAATATTTTTATATCATAACCAAGTTGACTTTAATTTATTAATTTTATATTAATTTTTGATTCTGTTTGATTAATAATAAAGTCTAACTGAAAATAAATCTAACAATCTATTTACTTATCTGAATTATACAATAATACAAAAAAAAAAAAGGGAAAATGTTGGGACGTGAACCAAAAATGGAGATAACGAACCTTTATGTATATAATTAATTATTATTACACGAAAAATTACATGCTCTATTACCATTATTACCACAAAAAAAAGGGTGTAACTAAAAAAATATATATAAAAATTATGATAATGATGTAACCCTCATATTGTTCTTAAGTTTTTCGGTAAAATTCCTTTTTGGTTTTTTCTCTATTCATATGATGGATGTATTATTTTATTGTTATAAACTGTCCTTTCTGTTCTTTTTTGCTGATAATAGATCATCATAACTTCGTGGATCCATCATCATTGAATCAGCATCAGCATCATCCTCCTCCTCGTCATAATATTCTTTTCCATTGGATAATGCAAGAGTATTATTATGATCATTGTTAATGATGACGGAAGGCTGATCATCATCAAGCAAAACGTCACTTAATGAAACCTTATTATAGTTATTGATACTACTGTTGCTTAAATTACTTGTATGGTTATCTATAAACGCATCTTCATCGTTATCTGAAGGTGCGCTATCAATTATTATATGCGGGCCCATATTTGCCGCCGTTGAAAGATCATCATCACCATAATCACTGGAACGCCGACGCTGTTGACTATACTTTGCGCTGGTACTATTCTTTCGTAATCGTACCATTTTGAAGAATCCTGAGGCGGTAGAGGATGAGATTTTACCACCATTATTATTGTTATTGCTTCCCTCGTTACTTCTTATAAGAGCAGATGTAGCTTTTTTAGGTTTCTCAATAATCTCAATATGCGATCCGGCCACTGTACTCGCATTGTCACTCCACAAAGTGCTTTCATTTTTTTCTATTTCAATGCTTTCCTCTAATGGACTTTGTGGTTGTTTGATCATCCCTGGCGTTTCTTTTGCTTCACTTAACAATAACACACCGTAGACTAATGAAGCGATACCCAGTAACACGAGAAATAATGCCCAAGTTGGATATGAGTCTAATTCGTTCAGATATATCATTGAGTTTATGAGACCCATGGTGGTATAAAATCCAAAGAATATCGGCACTACTAATACGGAATCGTGAAGTTTTAAAGCCGTGTTTAAGCAAAAGATCTAAACATATGATTTATATATTAATATAAGCGACAAAGAATAACTATTGAATTATTGTCTCGTAATTGATATTACCTGCAATACGGAAGTCACCGCCAATCCGAAAAGAATAAACAAACTCAAATTATCGGTGAATTGATTGTCTCCTTGTAGAGATTTTGATAAAAGCAAAACGCTATTATGATCAAGCCAAATAATGATTGTTTAATATGTGCTATTATAATAATATGTGTCATTATCTTGAATACAAACACGATTACTCACCCACTTTTAGCCAAAAGTAAAGTTTGACTAGCGAGCATTCCACCAACACCAGCCATTGCCATTCCCACCATTTTCTTTAATCGCTTAGTCTCCAAACTACGAAAATAATTGTGCATTTTTTTTCGTTGCTCATTCTTTGCAAACCAATACGCGTACAATGCAACTCCGAGCACCCCAAACGTAAGCAGATCAAGAATTGAAAAATACACGATGAAAATTGGACGCATGAATAAAGCTTTGAGTCTTTCGAGTGTAAGGTTTGCGTCTGCAAATATAAAGAAAAATGAATGAACAAGATGGCGAGAATAGAATGAATAATGAAAAGCAAACGTATGATTTATTTACCGCCTTCTCCTTTATTCATTCCTCCGAAAACGACAACCCATATTACGCTGGCAATCACGACAAACGTCCCCACGATATCCTGTCTAGTGATACGCGTACCGACAAGAGCTCGAGCAAATACAAAATTAAATATCAGCGAAACAGAGCCAAGCGGTGCAACCCATTGTGCTTTCAAAAAGTCTAAACAAAAGTTTTTTTTTTTAATTATTATAATTACATCATTTTTGTTTAAACGTAATTTCTTTTTTTTTTTTTTTTTTCTTTAAATAAACTATTCAACTTACATAAGGCAAGCGTACTGCCAAGCAACTGACTAAGAATATATAGATACAGCCCCATATGCCATAACGGTCTTCCACACTCGTTTCGTTGCGAACTTGGTGGTCGACTTGAATTTTTTATATGATCGAGATTTAACAGATTTAATCCAGCCGCATTCATAATTGAAGCGCCTATACTCACTGCGAACCCCAGTAAGAAATTCGTTACCGATGGCTCACTGTTGTCTTGTTCCGAAGACATTGATAAGGCCGGGTTATTTGAAATGGCGTGGTGGTGGTTGTTCGGTAATGCTTGTCAGTCAGTCGATTGGTATATTAAAAGAGCAAACGGTTTAAAACATGTGTATTTTTGGGTTTTAACGTTAATTAATTATTACTATTTATTATAAATGTTTCAATTACCAAAATAAGCTCTTTTTTAATTTAACGGCTGCTTTATTTGGCCGAATGCAAATGAAAGGAGAAATACATGATTCTCAGTGCGCACACGCATCTCATTGAAAACCAGTTAGAAATCAGGATTTTCGGAGCTAAAAATTTAATTAAACTGTGTATGATCATCCATTATTTTATTAATTGGTTCAACTGGGCATTATAAATTTCCTGTTATGATAAAGAAGATGTTGGGAATTTAATCATTTATTTATTTGGATTGAATAATAATGAGTGCTATAATACAAAAAAATACGGAAAATTTAAAAATTGATTTTAAGAAAATAATTAAACTAAAAAATAAAACGTGTAAGACACTAATTAATGTCTTATTTTTATGATGCTATAGCAATACCAATAATAATGATGATAATAGAAATTAAGGATAACTGTAGAACAAGCAATAAAAAGAAAGAAATTAAGGATACAATGAAAATGTATATATTGTACAGAATTAATGATGCTCTATAAAGTAAATAAATGAATATAATGTCTATTTAATCAAAAAGTATTCCCATCTCTGTCCTCGGGAAATCCTTTATCATCAACATGTACTCGACCAGTGGCATAATCGAACGATGCTCCTTCTGTCGAAGCTTGAACACCATCTTTCAAACATGCCCTCACTTCCTCCGCACCAATTCCCGCTTTATCATTTGCCAGCCAGATAACTGGCTGTTTGGCGGTAAATGCCGGATGTAAAAATGCATGCTCATCCAAATCTTGCATATTTGTCGCTTGGGAAATATCTATTTCGTGACTATCATTTTTGTAATCCTTTTCCAGTAAAAGATTCGTCTCAGATTGATCAATTATCACTTTACGTTTTCGATCAACTACACCGGCTAAATCAGCTGGTAGAAATTCCGCTGAAGGGTTGTGCATGAATAGAGAACGTGTCGCGGTCATTATGCCAAAAGTGAGAGCGATAAGAACTACACTTAACACGCCTAAAATTACGAAAAAGGATTCAATAAATTATAATATAAAAAAATAATAAAGATGAGAATATAGATTTACCTTGAATGTATGCTTTTTTAAGGAACATCAATCCAATAATAGTTAACTGATAGATAAAAAGACCAATATATACTTCGTATACAGCCTTTCTAAAGGCTAATCCACCCGACTCAGCAGGTTGATCAAGCACATAAAGGAAATTATAGAGATATGCGAGATAATAAAGACCAAAATGTACAGTAACAAATGGTAAGATCAAAGGTGCTACGGTTGAATAGACGAGTCCAACACATACTATTAGAACGTGCGGTGGAAATGTAGTTCCTATTGTATATTTTCACATGAGATTTTGTTATTCGTAGAAAAATCAATTCGCGAAATTAAATATGAATAATAACCCCAATCAAGTGATGCCATTGTTTTTTCCAGGGTCCAAATTTGCCGTGGCGTTTTTACCAGAAACTTTTTGAAAATAAAGTGTATAACCAACGGTCCAATTTGACATAACTCTAATGCTGCGCCAGAGAATGTGAGAAGAACGTAGGTGATGAAAAAGGTTGACGCTAATGGTAAACGTGCTACAGGATTTTGATTATTATGGTTAATTGAATGCTTGAGAGATTATTTATATATTTTTTTTTTGTTTACTTACTTGCAAGAACATCAATGACAGTGCTGGGGTCTGAAAGAAGACGAGCGACAAAATTAGCGAGAACCAATAACAACAATAATAACAATAGCAAACTTGAATAACTCTAGAAAGAAATAATTACTCTGAAGGAGTGGAAGAGCAGAGAAAATTCCATTTGCGAGAGTTGTAAGTAAAAGAACATTGACAACCTAACAATGTTTATTCAAACTAAATGATTAAAAAAAAGAATCAAAGTAAATTAACCCTGAATCAAATATAAAAAGGATTTCACTCACCAAGAAAAAGAAATACTTTGACATCACGCTAATCGACACTTTGGTATGACTCACGATTCCTATTACAATAGAATAAAAAAAACTTAGCATAGTGTCATTTTACGCCATTTAATTAACTGATCAATATAAAGATTTGACTTCATTATTACCTTCGAATCTAGACAAGACTGCAAGATAAATTAAGTAATTAATTATTCTATTCAATAAAATTCGCTATTAATAAACGAAAAAAGAATGCTTACTTCTTAAGATAATTGGCAGCAATGCCATTAAAATGGCTAATCCTATTGCAGGTAACACACCCTAAATGAATAATAAGTAATGATAAAATAAGCAAGACATTAGTTTCATTTAAATATCCATTATAAATGGAAAACAAGTTTTATGGTCATTTACCTGAATAATTCCTACAACGGAGTTGGGTAACGCATCGACAATAGTTTTCACAAATCTTTGATTGAAATAATCTCATTAATATTTAATAATTGAGTAATTTAAACAGAAATAAAAGATCGCAGATAAATACCCAATTTTTGCCTTTAAATCATCCAGTTTTGAAATGGATGCCACAAAAGTAACTATATTTAAAAAAAAAGGATTTAAAATTAACAATTGCAAAATAAACAAACTCAAACAAATATTTATTTTATATCCACTAACCAGGAATAAACCATAAAAGCACTAAAGCAGAAACAACAAGTTTACTTATAGCTTTACGAATCATACGTTGCGTAGCCGACAAATTCAAGTTCTCCCAAATAACATCATTCGGTGCAATCTCCAACAACCGTGGAATCGTAGTAGTGCTGGCCAACTGAGCGCCAGTCTGAGTATTAAATTGAATAAATGCAGAATTCATCGGCGCATGTTTTGTAGCGTCGTTTTGATATTTAGTGATTTTCTCATTGAGAGTTTTGATTTCCGCTCGATACTCTTCGAGAGAATCTACTTTTGATCCAACCATTGGCACTTTCAATGGCCGATGTTGAGGGCGAAGTGATTTAGGTACTTGACCGGCGTTCTCAAAATCACCACCAGTTTGTTTGACATGTTTTAAGTAGTTTTCCATTAAGGTGATTGTTACGCCTTCAAGGTTTGCTACTAGATTTTCACGTTCTTCAATAAGTTTTGGAAGATCTTTTGGATCACTAAATAATAGAAGACAAACTTGGTATTCCATAGAATTTTTAAAAGAATAATCCTAGTATGAAATATAAAAACCTGTTTAGCCAAATATGTTTTATACCACCGGGGAATACATTGAATATCGATTTTAATGATTCCTTGTTATATAATTCACGAGGTATACCACTAACTAAAATAGTTTTTGCTTTTACAGATTCGCGATTTTCCGGTCGCGTAAAATATTCTTGTCGCAATCTAACAAAATTCTTATACTCATGATATAAAGAATAAATGATCGCCGCTATAATATTCCAAATAAAATTAGAAAATAAAAGACGAACGAAAAAATTCAAGATTAAAAGAAATTACCAGAAAATAGATAAGTTATAACCAAATGCGCCCATAACCGTTCAATCGTTTGAATATTTCCAATAGTAAATCGATCAATTCCACGCTCATCACCTTGTTGATACGCGTTTAATGGAATCAATATTGCACACCCAATAATTGTGAACACAGCAAATAAACGCGCAAACACGCGAAAGAATCGAAGAAACATGTAAGCGTCTAATCCAGCGCGTTGAATTATTTCTTCATCTGTTGTTTTGAGAATACTTAGCCAGCCGAGAAACCCGGAAGAAAGTTTTGGTGACCTTTTACTGTATTATTATGAGCAAATACTTGTTAAATTTTGGTGCGTTTAAAGCGAAAGCTCTCATAAACTTACTTTTTAGGAACTAAATAGGTTCTTGGCTCGTAAACTTTTTTATCCCACCTACGCACAATTCCAAAAGCAAATAACACCGATACCGTAATTGCACCATTGAAAATGATAGAGGTGACTAATGTAACGGTCGATGAATCCGTTTGTAATTGCACCTTTGCTTGATCTGTCATTGTCTGATTTGTATCTGTTTGATTTGACATTGCTTAGCGTGTTCGTATTAATCTCGTTTCTTCAGTAAAAGTTTTTTTTTTAAAAAATTAAAGACGGTTCGGGCTATGCAAGTTTTTTAAGGTGTAAAAATGCATTGTTTATTATACAAGGCTAACACACAACACAACATTACATAAAAAAATAAATAATTTCGTTACACAGAGACGATGATGTAAATTAATGCATTCATATGTTATGTTAGATGCAAGATCAACAACAGATACGATAATTGGTATGACAAACGAGACAATAAACGTTTCACATGGCTGTATTTAGATTTGAATGAGCCAAAAAAAAAAGAATACATGTATATGCACGGCCGAAACCATAAAAATTGTCGATGCTGAGAATAAAAAATAAAAAAATCAATGAATGAATTCGTTCGTATATCCCTTTTCTACTTTATCTGTCGGGTCTCTTAACTAAAGATAGAAATTCTTAATGATATGGTGTAGCAAATCTTTATAATGTTGTCATAACATTGTTCGTCAATATGAATGGAAAAGAAATAGAATTGGGCAAAACATGTCCATATGTGAATTCTTCGAAAATTTTTTAATAACATAGGCATATCTTTAGTTTTTCCAAACATTTTATTATGCTTTTCAGTGTTTATGAATTAGTGGGAACAAACTAAAATTGGACAAGACTGCTTGATGATTGGTTTGAAGTATCCTGTGAATTGCCAAATCTTATTTTTGAAAGTAGCACTAATGAACATTGTATAATAGTGCTAAGAAGACAAAGTCAACGTTAAATTTAATATCTATGATTAATACAATTCAATTTCGGGATTTTTTTCAAAATCACAACGGGGATTTTTCCGTGTCCCTTTGGGGGGAGGAGATAATTCCCCCGATTATAAAATTGAAAAAATGTCAAGTGATTATAGGGTATGTCGTAAAATCATTATTTTGAGTCATTTCGTCGAGCATTTAAAAATTCGATAATGGCTTTAGTAAAAACTCTAAACGTCTCAAAGCAAACAAGTGGCATTCCATATGGTAGACATGCTTTTCATTCATTCCTTTTTACTTAATTTCAACAAAATAATTATTAGATCTATTTATATAAAAATAATAGCTACTATTGCTCTTGCACTATATATAAACGGTCTACAAGAAATCTCACCAAAAATCAGTATTGAATGGAAAGACGCTAACTTGAGCACCGAGAATGTTGAATTAATGATAGAAAAGTATATATATGCATAATTAAGTCGAAAATTTATATTTAAAGCTTTGTTAGCTTGACTTAAATTTGCTGATTGTTAATATGTAATAAAAATCACATCGAATGAAAGCCAGGTTATTACAGGAACAAGTACTATCATTAGATATCTTGCCAGAGAACATAAATCCTTGGGATTATACGGATCAAATGCGATATCTGCTCCATTGGTATGCTTTAAGACTTTAATTTGTGAAATAGATAATTAGTTAATAGCTAAACATCCTAAGCTTTCTCTTAATAATATGATTAGATTGATCATTGGATAGATTTTGCATCGAATATTCTTAGTTCTCGAGACTTTAAACAACTTGAATCAGGATTTGATGAATTAAATCATCATCTTACACTTCGAACTTATTTTGTTGGCTATAAACCTACTTTAGCCGATGTTGTAATTTGGGGTGCATTAAAAAGTAAATGAAAAAAGTTTGATTTATTTTCAATATTAAATAGCTTGCAATAATTGTTAACTTGATTTCAGATTCTGCTGTATTTAATCGTCTATTGAAAACTGGCAAAGATGTGGGTACACATCTCGTTCGTTGGTATTCTTATATTAATACCTTACCGTATATTCAAGAAGCAGTCGCATGGGTACAACAAAAATCTGTTAACGAAACCAAAGTGAGTTTCATAGATTTATTAATGAAAAGAGTTGAGATCAATAATATTGGTTTATAATAATTTTAGAGTCGTTCTGAAGGACCTAATATGAACATTGGATTAGTTGATGCGAAAATCGGACAAGTTGTGACAAGATTTCCACCGGAACCTAGTGGTTATCTTCATATTGGCCACGCAAAAGCTGCAATGCTTAACCAATATTTTGCTCAATTATATCGAGGAAAATTGATTGTGCGCTTTGATGATACTAATCCTACGAAGGAAAAAGTAATTAAAATGGAGTCATTTATTTTAATTGTTATTTAATAATTCATTAACAGTTTGATTTTAAATCTTTAGGCAGAATTCGAAGAATCCATTAAAGAGGATCTTGCACTATTAGAGATCCATGCTGATCAAATTTCTTATACATCTGATCATTTTGATGAATTGTATGAGTACGGTTTAAAGATAATCCAAAAAGGATTAGCATATGTTGACGATACTGACGTTGTAACGGTATTTATTTCTTTTAGTCTTTGTTTTCATGATGATATAATTTTTTCTAAGTTGATAGCAATTTTTTTATGTTTTAGATGCGTGAACAACGCATGGATGGTATTGTTTCTAAATCTCGCGATTTATCAGTGGAAGAAAATCTGAGACGATTTCAGGAGATGAAAGAGGGGACTGAGTTTGTACGTCAATAATGCATAATTTAATAATATATTTTTTCAATCAAATAATTGCTTTCATTCCATATATAATCAAGGGTCTGACTTGCTGCTTGCGTGCTAAAATCGATATGAATAATCCAAATAAATCGTTACGTGATCCAGTCATATACCGTTGCAATTTATTGGAACATCATCGTACTGGGTATTAATCATTTTAATCTAATTGAAGAGGCTATGATCCTTAAATTACTTATTAATATTGATGAATCTTTTTAATTCCAGAAATAAATGGAAACTTTACCCTACTTACGATTTTGCATGTCCAATAGTTGATTCAATAGAAGGCGTCACCCATGCATTAAGAACAAATGAATATCATGATCGTAATGATCAGTATTATTGGATTCTTGATGCTTTGGAATTACGAAAAGTTCATATCTGGGATTTTAGGTAGAAATAGTTCATATCATATTATTTTATATTATGAAGTTTGTTAATTCTAATAGTCATTTATCCTAGCCGAATGAATTTTGTTTATACATTACTGTCAAAGCGTAAGCTACAATGGTTTGTCGATCAAAAAATGGTTTCTGGATGGGATGATCCACGATTTCCAACTGTTCGTGGTAATGCATTTGTATAATTTATTTTTATTGTCATAGAAAATACTTGATTCACTGATTTTTTATTTTCTTAGGAATTCGTCGGCGTGGATTGACCATTGAAGCTCTGAAACAATATATTCTTATGCAAGGTGCTTCGCAAAATGACGTGATGCTCGAATGGGACAAATTATGGGCTCTCAACAAAAAGATAATTGATCCTATAGCGCCAAGACACACTTCGATTCTTAGTGATAATATGTAAATTGTTTACTCGTGCGTGCATATCTAATTTGTTTCTTTTAACCTAAATTATTTTATGCATCTTCATTCTATCTAATCGAAAATTTAGAGTCAAGACCAAAATATTAGGAGGTCCTGAGAAACCATATGAAAAGGAGATACCAAAACATAAGAAGAATCCTGAGATCGGAACTAAACGTACTACTTTTGCGTCAAATGTTCTATTAGAACAGGAAGACGCAAAAACATTCGAGATTGGTGAAGAGGTAACAAAAATTCATTGAACACCCAAGATATGCAATGTCTGTTAAAATGATTCGATTTCTATTAAACACAGATCACCTTGATGGATTGGGGCAATGCTATAGTCAAAGCCATTAATAAATCCGAAGAAAATCCCGAAATTGTTAAATCACTTGAATTACAACTTCATCTCGAAGGCGACTTCAAAAAGACGAAAAAGAAAATCACATGGTTGGCTGAAACCTCAGACATTATTGAAGTAACTCTACTAGATTACGATTATCTTATCAATAAGAAAAAGCTAGAGGAAGGAGATGAAGTGAAAGATTATGTGACAAAAACGACTGAATTCCGTGCAAAAGCTTTTGCTGATGCGAATGTCAGGCATTTAAAAAAAGGTAATTTTGATTGCTATCCTTTTGAATGTCAAAGTATTTGTTATTGATTTTTCTGCATTTTCAGGGGAAAATATTCAATTTGAACGTCGTGGATATTACATTGTGGACGTTGAAGCAACAGAAGATGTTGTTACGTTAATTCGCATTCCTGATGGAAAGGCCACTACAATGGCATCGAAAGCTGCTGATGAAAAAAGTGAAAAGATTGAAAAGAAGTCATCAAAAAAAGATGAAAAGAAAAAAGGAAAGAACCGGGAAGTTGATGTAACCTCTGATTCTCAAACTCTCTCTTCAATGCCTTTGCCACCTATAAAGATTTCCTCGACACCTAGAGAAACAACGTCACCCGTTTCTCCGACAACGCCAACAACACCTTATATTTCTGATATCAAAATGTATCATGTTCCTAATTTATATGGTAAGCAACTTGAGGAAACTAGAAAATGAAAGCTTTTTAATGATTTTGAAAATAAATTACAAATTCATTTGCTTATTTTGTAGGTGATTTATCTCTTCCAAAGCCTGAAGAGGTATCCAAAATGTATATTGTATCAAAGATAGAGTAATTGGTAAAGATGGCTCTTGTTTGTATATAATTTGTCTTGGAATTATTAATAATTTTCATTTTAGACATGAGCATAAATATGGTGTTACAGCTTGTGTAATTTCGTTATTTCTATCTAACATTAAGAACTACGGCAGGTTGCAACACAATTTACGATTCTATCTTTAATCAAGAGACCGTAAGATAAAGTGCGATTTTATACAAGAAAAGGATACACGAACAAATTCACTATTGAGCTTTATTTTTATTCTCTGATAGACAATTTTTAATGTCATTCGAATCTAAAATTGTTCCGAAGATCATGTTCAAAATACTGTCCAATCAAAAGTGTTAATTGCTAAAATAGATACAAAACTCCATGTCTGCATTTTTAGATAATTTTTTTACTTTGGATCCTTTTTATAATGTAAAACATTCATTATGCAAATCAAAGAACACTCCCTCAGCAATATTGCACGATCTCATTTTGCTTTCATCGTGACTCCATCCACAAATATAATTGGTACTTCACAGATAGATGTCGGATCTCGTCATACATGCTTTGAAATCATGTCTAGTAACATTTACGTTGATTTGTCTTCTGATCTTAGCATTATTATACAATATTCAATTGCACTTTTTAGAATGAGAAAGATGATTTTGGCAGACAAGTACCATTGATCGTATATTTTTGACAAATTTTAATTACCATTAATTGACTTTCACTTTTTAGTCATATCGTTAATCACCAATCGAAATTTTTTCTAATCCTTGATCAATTGTAATAAACTTACGGAATGACCGGGCTTGCCTGAATTCGGCCCGGATTCGAGTCCGGCTCGATATTTAGCAAGTCCAACCAAGCTCGTACCCTATCATTAATCTGACATGCTAAAAAATATTTTTACAAATATTACCAAATTCATGACAAACAATTTGCAATGCTAGATTTCGAAATTTTGTTCAGGAATTATATATAGTTGATACTTGATCTCAGAAAGAGCATAAAAGTCAATTTGTAAAATACCAACCATTAATATGATATTTACGGCATCATAGATCATAAGAAATTGGTTGAATGAATTAGTGAGTTTTTCAAGATTTCAACTTTTTACTCATATTATGATAAAGAATGAAAATAATCAAGAGATAGATGCCGCCTCCATCTGGGCTTCCAGCGCAGCTTTCTCATTTTTGCGTCTCTGACGTTCTTCATACAGTTTACGATGTTCAATAATACGTTCGATAATTCCCGCTGTGGTGATATTCGCTGAAGGATTTATTATCTCCTGATAAATTCCTTTCTTTTTTGGGAGCTGTATAAAAATATATTAGATTAAATAGATCTTTTTATTATTTGCATTTATCAAAATAATTACCTCATACGGATCTTTACCATCCAAATCAGGTAGCGAAGGAGTATTACCATGTGCGACAATATCTACTTCGTATACTTTAGATAGAACATTTTCGTCGACGCTATATGGAGCTCCAATTATGACTTCATCAACGAACTATATATTAAAAATTTTAATTTTAATTCGAATCATATTTTTTTTATTAAAAAAACATTTATTTTCCGCACCTTACATGCGAGTACACCCAAAACTCGTTCATGAAGATTCATCAATGGATAATTTACTCCTTTTATAGCATTAACTGTCTAAAGCATGTATAAATTGGTATAAATGATAAGAGGAAGGAATGGATTCGATATTATGTAAGGACAGAGAGTCTGAAAGAAACAAATCACCTGATCATCATGAACGCCCACAAGAAGATAGTCACCCAACGCTTTAGCTCGCCTCAAAAACTCAATATGACCAATATGAAACAAATCAAAAGTACCATCTACGTAAACAACTTTATCACCTGGATTCGGTTCTTTACCTTCTGAGAACTGTACAATTCTTCGAGAAGTGGGCAAGAAATGCGATACTTTGGTCTCTTGTCGATTAGAATGTCTTGATGGACTACTAGTAAAGGTGGTCAGATCCTCAGTGCTAATTGAAGCTAGTGCTGAAGTAGACGATGAAGAGTGTCTTCGATGATGATGGTCACGTGTCATTAGCAGCATACGACCAACTAGTTCGGTGGTAGATACTCCTTGCGTACGTTTACATTCTCGATATCGACCAGCATCTTTTACTGCTTGATAACAGTCTGTACCATCCGCCAAAGTTGTAATGTCATCCCCGTGCACACAAAAATCACATTCATATTTATCTAAAAGTTCAAGACTTGTAAAATATGGAGCATCCTCGACTACTAAATCTACCCATTTGCATGCTGCAACTGCCGCATATCTTTTATTGGATTAATAGAAAAATGTAAATTAAATTTAATCCAAACAAATAATTTAACATTTTAATTAATTAATTACCTTTCCTCTTCTTTCATTACAGTGGGACCTTTATTTTTTTCAATCTCAGCATCGGAATGAACGCCTACAACTAAAAAATCACCCATAGCTTTTGCCTTAAATAATGGCAAAATTAAAGAATATTCGATTCAATGGATATATTCAAGAGATCCATATTAGGCATCTTTCCCCCCATAACATTCTTTCGAATAATACCTGACGTAAAGCATTAGCATGGCCGTAATGCATCATATCAAAGCATCCATCAACCCATACCCTAATAATTCATGTTTATGAAATAGCAAAAAACGGTTGTAAAAGCTTTTACATGGTAAAAGATAAAGACTATAAAAGTAAACGTGACTTACCTTATAGGTTTGCGAGTAGTTGTGCTTGTCATATTAAAATTTCGAACAAAAAATTTTTAAACATTTTTAATATCTCGCTCGATTAAATTTATACTTTTCAGGCAATTGCAAATTTATCGGTTAGGGATCAATTAATGTCGATCTTTATTTAATACAACAACGTGAACATGAATATAAACATTAGCTATTGATGACTTGACTTTCATAATACAAAAATAGTGCTGATCTTTGTCAAAATAATTCGTAATATTTATTTATGCACAATAATGACCACATCCAGTTGGACATTCTGATTTTTTCTGAAACCACTCTTGCATGTGCGCTAAATGGCCACCATGTCCACATCCCTGGCACCATGAGTATAGACCTTTAACTATTCGATGACTAAAAATTGCGACAATGTAAATGATTTACGGATAGAAAATAGTGGACGAGATATAGACCACATACCATATTGAGCATGGATTCAGGAGCTTTTGACATTTATCACATATCCAGAAACCATTGTGTGAATTTATTATGGGTTTGAAACAATTGTTGCATGTAGTATAGATAGTTGTGGATTCCTATTTATACTACGAATTAGATCTCTTGGTCTACACCCGTACCGACATTTCATTTGTATTATTGATAATACCTGATTTTTCTCTCTTACAGAAGGTATTTTACATGATGATATTATCGCAGAGGCAGGTATCCAAAGTTGAAATCGATGGAGAAGTTCTGTAATGATCATATATAATAATCCTTTGTAAGATGAATTAAAAGATCAAGTAAAACTAAAATATAAATCACATAATTACCAATATACGAAAATATCCATCTTTCTACAGTGTCTTTATCCACATTCAATCTTTCATCAAGAACGAGCACTAAAGTAACGCACATTTGCACATCTCCCTAAAAAAAATATCAATGAATTGGCGAGATTTTTGGAAATTGAATAGATAATTACTTGTTCTGCGTAATATTCCAATAGACTGTTCATGCTCGATTCATGATTCCATATAGGTCTAACTGCCGATTTAAGTGTCTGTTGCACCAATTTACTAGTCATTTTTATAAGATTTGGCGGTGGTGGTTGTTGAGTCGCAGGAACGTTTTCCTTTTCTCTATTTTCATCTGTAACGAATTCGTCACTTTCTTCCGATTCGGATAAAGAATCTTCATTCTTTAAAAATTAATTGCGACAGATAAAAAAATAAAAATCTTAGTGATCCCAAAAATAGGCTATATTTAAAAACATAAACACTTACTTCTTGCATGCCATCTAATACTTTTTCTTTAGGGAGATCAACATGCTGATGGTTACTATTATTATTATTATTATTCTGATTATTATTCTGATTATTATTATTATTCTGATTATTATTATTATTCTGATTATTATTATTATTATTATTATTATTATTCTGATTATTGTGATTATTCTGAGTATTATTATCATTGTCGTCATCATCTTTACTTTCACCAGAAGACTTTATAGAAATTTTCGGTGATACATTTGCTGACTTGTTCTGTGGTAAAATTAAATTGCCTTTGATCACGAAAAAAATTTCTAAATATATTATCTCAATTAATTTAAATCTTAAAAAGACTAATTTCATTAACTTACTGTTGTCACTATTAGTGATGATCTTTTCCTCCTCATCAAGTGTATCATTGCTGAACAGTAATTGAACGATTTTCCACGTCTGTGAAGTACGAAATTTTTGGGCTTCCCATGCAATCTAATTGATTTAATATTAATAATAGAAAATTTTATCGACAAATCCTCAAATTCTTCATCTTACTTTTGCATTATGTTGACACGTATTCAAAATATCATCGGTTGAAATCATATAATTTTCCGCCAAATATTTAAAAGACTCGTAATCAAACATTGTCATAAAAGAAACGCCCGTTTTTTGTTGTGATCGTATTTCTGGCTTTTTTTCATATTACAAAATAGTCAAAGAAAAGAAAATTAACGAGTAAAATATATATATACTAATGGTTATTTTACCAACCTCCACAATACCAGAATCGCTAGCACTTGGAGATCTCCGAATTTGATTTCTATCAGAAGTTAACAAAAACGTCTAAGAAATACTTCTAAATATGCAAAACCAAGGCAAAATGTAATAGCTTACAGATCTGCCGCTGGTTTATCAATTGCAAAGGCTAACTCGTCATAAACATTCCACCCGATTCCACATTTATTTAGCAAATCTATTTGGCGATGAGAATTCGTTCTTATATCCTGTTGAATGAAAGTTTTATCTCTTGAGCACGACCATAATACATGAGAATCATGCCATAAAATTCCTAAAATAATTAACCAATTTTAATTAATTCAAAAAATATTTGAAAATGATCGCTCAACAGTCTTACCCACCAGTTGGAATATCTTCATGCTCATCAAAGAAGTAACTCGCTATATACGGTCGCTTTATGTTCCATACAAAAATACGATTATCTTTGTTGAATGAGCACGATGCGATTTCGTCAACTTGATTTGGTCGCCATTGAACACGCGCAACGGCAGAAATACACGGAATGAATTCGGTAGGCTTATTATCGTCCGAGTTTATATCCCATATCTGTTGTTGTTATTATTATAAAGTCAATCTGGTTCAATTGTGGTGGATAATTTAGCGTAATTCTTCTTACTTTGATTATTTTATCAACTCCACCACTCGCCACCTTATTACCATCAGGATGCCAATCTACTGTTAATGCTGAACTAGCATGAGCAAATAATCTTCTTTCGTAGTTGTTGGGTTTCCGGATATCCCATTTCTGTTACAAGTGAAATAGATTTTTTAAAAAAAATTTAATTATGTGATACTAATGAAATAAAAAATCTTTTTTAAGTACCTGAATCATTCCATTATCGAATGCTGCTATAAATTCATTTGAATTGGATGGATGAAACTGAACATCTCGTGCACTATTCGCTCTGCCATTAAACGTGATCTTTGGACGTACACGATCTCTCAAGTCCTAACATAAGACGGGATTTCAAATTTTTATAACAACTTCACGATATTTTGGATTTTTTGAACATACCCACATTTGTATTAATCCATCTTGGAAAGCGCACAACATCAGAATTCCTTGCATCGGATTAAAGCAAATTTTATTAATCGCCCTTCCTTGTTCGTCAATTGTTCTATCTTTTATAAGTATAAAAATCACAAGATCAGATTAATAAATTTAAAAGATAATGAAAATTATCGAAAACAAACTTACCCAATTTTCCCTTGCCACCTCCAACATCCCATAATTGAATATATCCATTATTAGATGCTGCTGCTATTTTACTTTTGGAATCTTAGAAAGAAGAAAAAATTATATAAATAATATATTTAATTGTAAATCAGAAGTAAGATAATTAAAAAACAAACCTTACATTGATTTCCCCATTTTACGTCACTAATGCTTTGTTTATGAATGTATTGTTTATATTTAAGATTTGCTTCCTCTCTAACTCCTTTTTCACTTACTCTATATGTTTTAAGCACTAGGGTAAAAATGCAATGAAGGTAAGTCGTATTTTTAGGAGAAGACGCGTGTAAATGAGTAAACGTGTACCTTGGTGACCACCCACTACGACACGCGTTTGGTCAGGTGAAGCAGACAGAGCACTCAAAGGGTTGTTGACTTTGACTTTTACCAAATCACGTTTCGCTTCTAAACCTTGATTGCGAGTTGAATGAGAGGTAAAACCAAAGGTAGAATAGGGACTAGTATTAGATGGTCCCCCAACACTAGTAGACGACTGCAAGGGACTTGATGGTGTTGGAGTAGCTGGTCTAAAAAGCCAATAATTCGATGGTTCTGTCATGAGTTAGTTAATGTAGTTAATCTGTCATTTTGTATGTCAGATGAACTTCTAATGACCCAAAAAATAAAAGATCGACAAAAATTTTCGGTTTTTGAATTCAAGAAGACAAGTCATGGTCAAAAAGGTTATAGACTCGAGAATACCTACACTAATAAAAAATGGCGTGCGGAATAAGCATCGCTCATTTTTTGTTATGATTGGGGATAAAGGAAGAGATCAGGTAAAAAGGGTTCTTTCTATCTATCCAAAGACATTTTTGAATGAATTTATTTATTTTTCAAATGCATTTATAGGTGGTGAACTTACATTGGTTGCTTTCACAAGCTCAAGTTGCCTCACGACCTTCGGTATTATGGTGTTATAAGAAAGAACTCGGTTTCACAAGGTTATTTTCATTTCCGGCACTCAACAATACAAATTATCACTATTTGTTAAGTTACTCATTCTCTCTATTTATATTTTCGAAGCCACCGCAAAAAACGTGAAGCAAAAATAAAGAAAGAAATTAAAAAAGGCATCCGAGATGCAAATGAAGAAGATCCATTTGAACTTTTTATTGCTGTCACGAATATTCGATATACTTATTATAAGGAAACGCATAAAATTTTGGGAAATACTTTTGGAATGTGCGTTTTGCAGGTTGGTAACGGATGCTTTAACATAGCATGATATATCATCAAAGCCACTATTGGCATCACTGCAAAATTCAATGTGTAAATTATATTCTCTCATTTGATCAATTATTACAATAATCAAATCAATTAGGATTTTGAAGCATTAACACCAAATTTATTGGCTCGTACAATTGAAACAGTTGAAGGTGGTGGCATTGTTGTGTTATTGTTAAAGACAATGAAATCATTGAAACAGCTTTACACTTTAACAATGGTATGATTACTATCATCACGTTATTCTGTTATGATCATTATTTTGAATTCTAAAACAGAAAATGAAATAATTTATTACATAGGATGTACATGCTCGGTATCGAACCGATGCACATGATGATGTCACCGCACGATTCAATGAAAGATTCATTCTTTCACTTGGATCTTGTGACAATTGTCTAGTGGTAGACGACGAACTAAACGTTTTACCAATCTCAGCAGGAAAGAATGTAAAACCACTTCCACCAAAGTCATCACCTGATGAAATAACAGCTCAACAAACGGAGCTCAATGAATTAAAGTCGTCATTGGCCGACACACAACCAATCGGTTCACTCGTTCAAACAGCAAAAACGCTTGATCAAGCGAAAGCAGTTCTCACTTTTGTTGAAGCAATTTCGGAAAAAACGCTGCGGAGTACCGTGACACTTACTGCATCTCGTGGTCGAGGTAAATCTGCGGCTTTGGGGATTGCGATAGCTGCTGCGATCGCTTACGGATATTCCAATATTTTTGTAACCTCACCCAGTCCGGAGAACTTGAAAACATTGTTTGAATTCATTTTCAAAGGATTTGATGCTTTGAAATACGAAGAACACTTAGATTATGATATTGTGCAATCAACGAATCCCGATTTCAATAAAGCGATTGTCAGAGTAAATGTCTTTAGACAGCATAGACAAACAATTCAGGTAATTTGTTACTTCCACCATTTTTATTATTACCTAAAATCAGAAACGTTCGAAAATAATTCGATCATGACTATATTGCAGTATATTCAACCGCAAGATTCTCACACACTCGGTCAAGCTGAATTGGTTGTTATTGATGAAGCTGCAGCTATACCTTTGCCACTTGTAAAAAATCTATTTGGTCCTTATTTAGTGTTTTTAGCCTCAACTATCAATGGTTATGAAGGCACAGGAAGATCTCTTTCACTCAAACTTATACAGCAATTACGAGAACAGTCTCGAGGATTCATCGGACATCAAAATAAGTCTGAACAACGTGACGAGGAATCTACAATCGTTAATCGTGATGGCAAAACAAAAAATTCGATATCTCATGGTAGTATCTCCGCGGGTGGTCGCACTTTACGTGAAATTAAACTCGAAGAACCAATTCGATACGCGCAAGATGATCCAATTGAAAAATGGTTAAATAAATTATTATGTTTAGATGCTACTATTGTGTCTAAGAATATCCAAGGATGCCCACATCCTCAACAATGTGAATTATACTACGTTAATCGGGATACTTTGTTCTCTTTTCATCCCGTCTCAGAAACTTTTCTTCAAAGAATGATGGCTCTTTATGTTGCTAGTCATTATAAGAATTCACCTAATGATTTACAATTGTTGTCTGATGCGCCAGCTCATCATTTATTTGTTTTATTGCCTCCAATCAAAGAAGGCGATCATTCATTGCCTGATCCATTGTGTGTTGTTCAGGTAATATACAATGAATCCATTACCTTTGTGTTCTTAAATTCGATGTTTTTTAAATTTGATCAAAATTTATTTCAGGTTTGTTTGGAAGGTGAAATATCTAAACAAACCGTATATAATAGTTTAGGTCGTGGTCAACGTGCTAGCGGTGACTTGATTCCTTGGCTAATTGCCCAACAGGTATATTGCTTATACAAATATATAATATATAATCCGAAAATAGAAATTAATAATCATTTTTAGTTCCAAGATGATGATTTCGCAAGTTTATCGGGTGCGCGCGTGGTTCGAATTGCAACTCATCCCGATTATATTCAAGTAAAATTCAAATTTTTTAATTTGATTTTTATTGATTAATTTAACTGAGATCAACTCCATGTATGTTCTTATTTTCATAGATGGGTTATGGATCAAGATGTTTAGAATTGCTTACTGCCTTCTATCAGGGTGAGTTTGCTTCTTTGAATGAAAACGACAATTTTCAAGAAGAAAACATTCCAAGGGTTTCCGAATCAGACTTTGAAGTAGGTTTTTACTAGTTAAAATCTCCTGAAATTCTATATTCTCATGACCTGGTCTCTCTTTTATTTGATGATAGAAGTCAGATATCCACAAAGAAGAAATCAAAATTCGAGATCCCCATAAAATGCCACCTCTTCTTTTGAAACTATCAGAAAAACGTCCCGTTCGACTACACTATATCGGCGTATCATATGGTTTAACCAGCGCGCTCCATAAATTCTGGAAACGTGCTGGATTTGTACCACTTTACTTGCGTCAAACTCCTAATGAACTAACGGGCGAGCATACTTGCGTCATGTTGAAAGCCTTAAAATGTGATGATTTGACGGCAACATGTTCACCTGATTGGCTGGCGTTGTTCTCCAAAGACTTTCATAAACGTTTTTTGAATTTGCTCTCTTATCAGTTTAGGGGATTTCCGAGTGTTTTGGCATTGAGCATATTAGCAGCTGCTAATTTTGGAAGTCAAGATTCTAAAAATAAAACACCAAGTGGGTTCCATTTTAACGTCATTATTACAATAATTATTTTACTTTTTATTAATTAATATATCTTTATACTTTTAGCATTAACAAAAGAGTCTCTCGACCTTTTATTCACAAGTTATGATCTGAAACGGCTTGAAAGCTATTCGAATAATATGCTGGATTACCATGTCATTCTTGATTTAATTCCGACCATAGCCTCTCAATACTTTGAAGGAAAATTAGGTGATGAAGTTACTCTTTCGGGTGTGCAAAGCTCTATTTTGCTTGGGATTGGACTACAGAGGAAATCGATTACTGACTTGGAGGTACGTATTTACTGAACTTGAGTTATATTTTTTATTTTTACAATCGATTGAGCAGAATCCTCGGAATTTACTATTAAACAACACAGAGAGAACTAACTCTACCTTCAAGCCAAATACTCGCACTATTCATTAAAATAATTCGCAAAATCTCTAAATATTTCACGTCACTCGAGACAGCTGCCGTACAAGCAACCATCCCACATGAAGCGACAATAGTTCAAAAAAAGAAATCCTCAACTAATGGCAGTAGGATTGCTACTTCTAGTAACCCTGAAAGCGAGGCTGCATGGGATCCTATGCAACAGACGTTAGATGATGATCTTGAAGAAGCAGGCGACGAAATAATGGTTCAAATGAGAGAAAAGCAACGTGAGCTTATTGATTCGATGGATTTATCAAAGTGAGCAAAATAACTTTTCGATTTGATATAACGTTCCGTTTTTTTTACATATCAAGAAATTTGATTTTTTAATTGTAAATCTTGAACAGATATGCAATTAGTGAGAATGCTGAAGAATGGGAAGTTGCCGAAAGTCAGATTTCTAATGCTAATAAAAAAGGCAATGCATCTACCACGGTCAGTGTAAAAACTTCAGAGTCAAATAAACGGCGAAAACCTACAGAAACAGCAGCTGATATTGCTGCCAAGGAAGCAACAAAATCAAGTTCTAACAAAAAGAAGCATAACAAAAAAATTAGAAAATCTTGAGTAGACGACAAAATGAATTGTATATATTAAAGTTGATAGAAAAAAAATTATTTAAATAGAGAAAAAGTCAAAAAATAGGCAAAACTAAATAATCCAAGCTAGCGGTCTCCTTCCGAAGAATCGTCTTTGTAATCTGTTTCCTCATCATCTTGTTCTTCAATTGCATCCATCACAGATGACGCTACAAACTCTTGATATCGTTTTTCAAAATCTAAATCTAACGCATTAGGATATGCTTGTTCTTGCCTAGGTGTTGTTGCTGCATTTGCATCATCTTCATCATTATTATCACCATGACAATTTAATAATATTAGTGCTTTTTCAACCTTCAGTTTCTTGTATTCTCGTTCTTTGATTTGAATTTGCTCTCGTATATTAATTAGATTGATTATCTCTTGCAATCCTTTATGATAAAAATACAAGCTTTTAATGATTGCCAAGAACAATTAATTATTCATATGCCAGGCCAAAATTTTATTTATTTACTTACCTTGTTTGAAACTATTTTGTGATTCTCTTAATGAAGATGGAACCAAAACTCCAAACCAGTTGAGTGGATTTTTGATGAAACCTTTTTTTGTGAAGTTAAGTTTTTCATTTTCTTTTTCAGAAATTCTGACATTGCGTTGTCTCAACCCGCCAGTTTCTAACGGTTTATCAACAATATCATCAGTGGATAACACATCTAATTCTGGATCACTAACATTGATCAAGATAATTTGACGACTATTATTTTGTCCTAATTCATTATTGGCTTCTTGATCTTCAGATATTAAACTAAACAAATAACGGAACCATTTGTTATTTTCCCAAGACGAAATCGAAACGAAGGGAAAATATATAGTAACCAAAAAAAAAATCGATCATACATTCTGGTATCTGCTTTCATTCGTCCATCATATTGATGTTGAGTTAATGAACTCGGCCCCATAGCATATTTTGCGTGAGCTAGTGATAGAAATCCCTTTTTTTTTTTCCAATAATCACCACAGCGAAGCCACAACAAAATATGGATCAAAAGCCAATGAATAATTACTCGAAATAAGCGTGATAACTTACTTTTTCTAATTCTTTACTAATTCGTTTCCATTGCTCTTCGTAACTGGAAATGAGATCGAGATATTCGAGAGCTGTTGTATCTAGTTGCTCGCATATTTCTGCAAGTTTTTCTGAACTGTTCATTTTTTGTTGAAGTAACGGTAGATTTGAATGAAATTCGCATCAGGATTATCGTAACATGATTTATATTTAAGGAGTAAGTAATAAAATTACCCCTATTAACCCATCATCATGATAACAATGAAATTATAGTTCATAATGAGAAATACATTTATTATAGAGAAAGCGAAAGCAACGTCAAATATGGTACCCTCAAAAGCAACGGCTAGTTGATTTTTTCTTATCAATTACGGAAAATTTTCCGAGTTTAATCAAAAAAGAAAACAAAAAATTAAGCACCTTTCCATTTATACCAAGACTTTAAACTCTTTTTTAAGAAATATCCGGTTCCCTTGTTTACTGCTTATTTCTTTTAAATATGTCCTTCCTTATTGTGAGATAGCGTATTTTAGAGAAACTATATCTTTCTTGGGGCGATTAGAAGTTTAAATAGAAAGATCGACGCATTAAAGTTTACCATATCGATGTATCTAAGGAGAAAAAATTCACGAAATAAGATAAAAGAAGCATGCATTCATACAAAGCATACAGTCAACGATACCTTCAGATAAAGTAAAATTTTTCTCATTTTTAACAACTGGATCATCATATTCAGCTTTGACTACTGAATAACGCGCGGTCTTTTAGAGTCTCTTCTGTTAGCACTTTTCATTCAAATTCTATTTCTGATGATTTTGTGAAGGAAAAAAAGTTCGATGAATTTCATGCTAACCTAACTTCTTTAGGTTTATAAAATATTTCATATTGATATTTTGAAAAATTATCGCATTGTAGTTCAATTTTTACATTTCTTTTATATTTTACGGGCCAAAATTATGTGATAAAATTATTATGAACAGTCAATGATCTTCTGAAATAACTTTTAATATTCTTGCCCTTTTAAAGCTTTAAGCTTACGCACCTAAGCAAGTAACCTTGTTCTTGCCAACATGAATCTGGGAAAGTCAAAGGGTACGACTTTAAAGCATTTTTAGAACAATTTGTATTCAGACACACAACTTCACTACAAATTTATTTTCTCCCGGTGTGTCTTGATATTCGTCTTATTATTGAAAATATCTATCCCATCAAAACATAAGATATCAAAATTATGAACATAAAATGTTTCATAGAAGGAATGTGTTATAACATTCCTATAACTCATCATGATTATTCAATGGCTCTTCAGATTCCTGTGATGATTCGCCACCCGCGTAAAGTTTGCTTGTAATTGGATTAACGATCGATTGTAATTCCTCTCGTTTCTCATCTAAATCATCTTTTGTAGCGGAATTTCCGTGTTCATCGAGCCATTCGATGGTCTTTTTAATTGCATTTCTAATCGTTTTCTTGTCATCGTCGCTTAATTTCTTGCCAAGATCGCCATCATCTGCTATTTGAGCCTTTAATGAGTATACAAATGATTCGAGTTGATTACGTGCTTCGATGCGTTCACGTTGAATTCGATCTTCCTCAGCGAACTGTTCTGCTTCTTCGACCATACGATCAATTTCTTCTTTTGATAGACGACCTTTGTCGTTAGTGATTGTTATTGATTCTGATTTTCCAGTTCCTTTATCGACCGCGGAAACTTTCATAATACCATTGGCATCCATTTCGAAAGTGACTTCTATTTGAGGTACACCACGTGGAGCTGGAGGAATTCCAGTCAATTCAAATTTTCCAAGTAAATTATTATCTTTGGTTAATGATCTTTCACCCTCGTAAACTTGAATGAGTACATACTGTTGATTATCGGCGGCAGTTGAGAAAATTTGTGATTTTTTGGTAGGGATTACCGTATTACGTGGAATCAATTTGGTCATTACACCACCAGTTGTTTCGATACCCAAAGTCAATGGACAGACGTCAACCAACAAAACTTCCGAAACATTATCATCACCACTAAGAATTCCACCTTGAACTGCAGCACCATAAGCAACAGCTTCGTCAGGATTAATGTTCTTTGAAGCTTTCTTGCCATTGAAAAATTCCTCGAGAAGTTGTTGCACTTTGGGAATACGAGTTGATCCACCAACCAATACGATATCGTGAACATCCTCTTTTTTTACTCCAGCGTCCTTTAATACTTGTTCTACTGGTTTCAGTGTTTTACGGAACAAGTCATTATTAAGTTCTTCGAATTTGGCACGAGTCAAAGTTTCCGAGAAATCTTTTCCGTTGTGAAATGATTCAATTTCAATACGAGTCGACATTTGCTGTGATAATGTTCGTTTCGCCTTCTCAACTTCCCGCTTCAATTTTCCAACAGCTTTCAAGTCTTTGCTTACATCAAGTTTGGTTTTCTTTTTGTATTGTTTAATAAAGTGATCAATCACACGATTGTCGAAATCTTCTCCACCCAAATGAGTATCACCTGCCGTTGCCAATACTTCAAATACTCCATCTTCAATGGATAGTAAAGACACGTCGAAAGTACCACCACCAAGATCATAAACGAGAATCTGCCTTTCACCTCCCGTTTTATCAAGACCGTAAGCAATAGCCGCTGCGGTTGGTTCATTAATAATGCGCATGACATTTAATCCTGCAATCACACCGGCATCCTTAGTAGCTTGGCGTTGAGCGTCATTAAAGTAAGCAGGCACTGTTACAACCGCATTCGTGACTTTTTTCCCGAGATATGATTCTGCGATTTCTTTCATCTTACCAAGAACCATGGCTGATATTTCCTCGGGTGTGAATATCTTATCTTCACCTTTCACTTTTACTTGGATCACTGGTTTATCGTCTTTATTGATAACCTTGAACGGGAAATGTTTTATGTCATTTTGCACGTCTCTATCACTGAATCGTCGACCAATTAATCGTTTTGCGTCAAATATTGTATTCTCTGGATTTGAGGGTGCTTGATTTTTGGCCGCTTCTCCCACTAGTCGTTCTTCGTCGGTGAACGCGACGTAAGATGGTGTGATACGATTACCTTGGTCATTGGCTAGAATTTCAACTCGCCCGTTAACATGAACTCCGACACATGAATACGTGGTACCCAAATCAATGCCAATAACTGGGAAAGTTCATTAATAAGTTTTGAATTTTAATGATCTTATATATAAGTTGGTTATTTATTCAGTAAACTCACCTGTACCCACTTTTGCTTTCTTCTCAGCCCCAGTTTCTTCGGCCCATATCGAGTTTGGAAAAGTAAACAATATTGTTGTAATAAATATAGTTAAATATATAAATAATGTGAATTTCTTCTTCACTTTTTTCTCCATTTTGTAATGGTAAGTACCCAGAAATGGATAATAAATTAATCTCGCTAGAAGAGTTTTATTCAGAGATTTCAAATATCATATAATTACGAATTGACAACAAATATGGTATTCTTTCTCGTAAGTTTTTGGTAGAAAGAAATATCGATATATGAAAAAATGGTAGAAACGATTTATCAAGCAGTTTTTTAAAGTTTTTAAAAATTTAAATAGTAATCATCAAATGATTACACAAGATCATTCTAGAAATTTCGATGAAGTTTCTCGATATCAATTAATTATCTTTCAAACTTAACGCTTTTTTAGAAATTTATTGGAGATTTGCTAAAATAGTTTATATTACGTTGTTCAAAATATTCGTCGATTTTTTTGATTATCATGCTCTGATTTTTTGGTTACTTTCTTGTCTTTACCATTTTTAATTTCTTTGCTTTTGCGTCTTTAATCTTTTTCGATCTTTCTTTTGAATTTTCTAAAGCCTTTTTTATCTGATCCGTGGTAACTTTGATCGCACTCTTCTGTAATTCCAATTGTCGTTTAGCTCTCTTTGCACGATCTAATTCATTTTGAATATTTGTTCTTTTCCATCGCAAAACTTCTCGTGCTCTTTCTAACCCGTTCACCAAAAATAGTAAATCACGTCGTAATTTATCGATTCCTGCACGTGTACGCGAAGAGACCATTATTGGTGTTTCTATTGCATAACGATAGTTTTTGAGCTCTTCCTTGATTAATTGATATCTTCGTGCGATATCTTTTGAGAGTACTAGATCACATTTCGTTAATATTAGTTGGAATTTAGTTCTTGACCTGAGAAAAATATAAGCTTATCAATACGATCTTGTATTATGATAAATAAAGTAAAAGTATTGAACCCAACTTTTCTACCATCATCAAGAATTCTTTGTCCGCGATCTTTATGCCTTCCCATGTTGTTAAATTAATTGTCATGAAATTATAATCATATCATAGACGTGTATAACAAATGAATGGATGAGCAAGAAACATAGATGTCTACCATGTCGTGCATCTAAAAGTACGTAAAGTCTTTTGAGAGATTTTCTGGTTGATATGTACGTCTCGATCTAAAAAATTAATGGATATCGATAATATTAAAGTCTCCAATGCTTTGTAATTATTTAATCTATCGATATTCACATTAATTATAAAAAATTCACCAGTTTTTTCCAATTCAATCGAGCTTCTTCATCTGCATACGCGAATCCATAACCTGGCATATCCACAAGATTAAAAATATTCCCCGCTGCATAAAAATTGATTTGTTGAGTGAGACCAGGTTTATCTGAGGTACGAGCGGTCGTGGTGTCTCCAAGCGCATTAATTAAAGAAGATTTGCCGACATTTGAACGTCCTACATAATAAATTTTAAACTTTAATTACTCGACAATTTCGTACTTGAATGTAAAAAATTCTCAAAACAACTTACCAACAAATGCTAATTCTGGTACATCTTCTTTAGGAAAAGAAGAAGGAATTTGTGCACCCGCAAAGAATGATAACCTCGGAAGCTTTCAATTTCACGAAAATCATCATGTAACAATTTGTTTATTTGCAAAGATTTAAAATTAGAATAGGAAATAAATGACAAGTTCAACGAACTTCTAGACCTTCTATGTCCTCTTCTGTACTCGTTTTTTTGCTGAACTCTTCAAATTTTTTCTTCTTCATAAGAAAAACTTTTTTCCCGTATTTTCCTTTATAATAATGCCGTCGAGCCAATCCATGATTCTCAATTTCTATCAAGGTAGATAACTTTGGTTCAATTTGCTTGAATTTTTGCCTATTAGATATTTTAGGTCGTCGAGAAATTTGAGGAATACTATTCCTCCTATTGCTATTATTACTGTGCACAAATAGTCGCTGCTGTTGAAAGAAAGCTGGCAAGTTGTATATGACGTTATTCGTAAGCCGTTTTGACAAATAGAGACAAATGGAAACTACTTGTTTGTTCATCGCTAGAAAATGAACTGATTTCGAATTACAGATTTAGCTAGAAGGCGCGCGTAACAGACATAAATGTGCAGTCATGTGTGATTGAATCATGATATCAGTTGATAAGATAATCTTATAATTAACGGCTTCATTTAAAATCCACTTTACACTCCTCCAGTGATTTCCCCCTTTATAGCATAACGTTAAGTCTTTAAAGCTTCATCATGCCTATCCTTTCTGTTAAAGCTCGTCGAATTTTTGATTCTCGAGGCAACCCCACTGTGGAAGTAGATCTAACAACCAACCATGGTAAATAATCATTAATGCTTGAACGTATTTATAGAGTTAACCATTTATTCCTATCAAAGGTCTTTTTCGAGCTGCTGTTCCCTCGGGCGCTTCGACGGGAGTTCACGAAGCATTAGAATTGCGTGATAATAATAAAGCTGAATATGTTGGAAAAGGTATGCTTAAATGCTACAATTGTTGTGAACTTGGTTATTGATCTTATAACCGTTATTAATTTTACCATTATTACGATAATTTATAGACGTTTCTAAAGCCGTCTCAAATGTTAACAATATAATTGCTGGAAAGCTTATTGAGGCAAATCTAGATGTTAAAGATCAAAAAGCTGTTGATGATTTCCTCTTGAAGTTGGACGGAACAAAGAACAAATCCAATCTTGGTGCCAATGCAATTCTTGGAGTATCTTTAGCCGTCGCAAAAGCTGGTGCCGCCGAAAAGGTAGCTTTCTTTAGATTATATTTATAATTTAATATAATAATAAACTAATAGAATACTAACGTATAATAACACGATAATGATATTACCAGGGGGTTCCTCTTTATAAACACATCGCAGACCTCTCCGGAAGCAAAGAGCCATTTGTTCTTCCAGTTCCCGCTTTTAATGTCATCAATGGCGGTTCTCACGCAGGGAATAAACTTGCAATGCAAGAATTTATGATTTTACCAACCGGTGCAAAGTCATTTACTGAAGCAATGAAAATCGGCTCTGAAGTTTATCACACACTCAAGTCTGTAATCAAAAAAAAATATGGGCAAGACGCCGTAAATGTAGGTGATGAAGGAGGATTTGCTCCAAATATTCAGGATAACAAAGAAGGCCTTGAACTACTTAAAGATGCAATTGCAAAAGCAGGCTACACCGAAAAAGTAAAAATTGGCATGGATGTTGCTGCTTCTGAATTTTACAAGGACGGAAAATACGATCTTGACTTCAAAAATCCAAATTCTGATCAGTCAAAACGGTTAACAGGACCTCAGTTAGCTGATTTGTATGGCGAGTTTATCAAAGAATATCCAATAGTATCAATTGAGGATCCTTTTGATCAAGACGACTGGGAAGCGTGGAGTCATCTCAATGCCAAAGTCAACATCCAAATTGTTGGCGATGATTTGACCGTAACTAATCCTGAAAGAATTCAAGACGCCATTCAGAAGAAGGCTTGTAATGCATTGTTGTTAAAGGTCAATCAAATTGGTACCGTAAGCGAATCAATTGAGGCGTGAGTATCTAATTTTATCATCTTTATCAGTCATTGCCTATCTTTAATTATTTTCAATTTTACAGGGCTAAATTATCTCAGAGTGATGGCTGGGGTGTAATGGTATCTCATCGTTCCGGCGAAACGGAAGACACTACAATTGCTGACTTAGTTGTCGGTCTTCGCACTGGGCAAATCAAAACCGGTGCACCTTGTAGATCAGAAAGATTAGCAAAATATAATCAGTTATTACGTATTGAGGAAGAATTAGGCGACAAGGCAATTTATGCGGGTGAAAATTTCAGACACGCGCATACTTTATAATAATGGACATTTAAATTATTTAACATGTGATTTTTTATATGCGTTAGATTATTTACTTATTTATGTAATGATAGTAAAACAATCGAAAAAGGAATTTCTTAATCCAGAAAAAGAATTTGATAAACTCATTTTTTGCATTCACTATATACATTGTATAGTTGATACTGTCTAAATGCATGGCATCCGTCAGAATGCATTGACATGTCAGATAATTGCTTCTTCCTCTGTTACTTCTTTGATTGGGTTTCAAAAATTTTAGATATATCAAGTAAAACGGTTTGTTTAAATATTCAATAACCCATTGCTTGTAAATGATATGGAACGAAGTCTCATTATAACATTTTTTATTAAAATAGAATAATGAATTGTACAAACACATTTCATATAACTCTTGTTTCTGTTCATTTATTTAGTATTATATTAAATTTATAATTAATAATAACAAAATATATAATTTTAAATGTGACGAATTAAATATATTACAATAATAAAAAAACTTTTTTACATATAAAACCTAAATTAATGTAGTAATTATGTTAATTTAGATATTATGCTCTTCTTTATAATCATAACGCGATTATATATTACACGCTCATTTTTATATTTTTATTGTATCATTATTTATTTATTACTAAATAATAGGACAAACTCTTTTTAATAATCAATTAATATCAATATTAACTATAATTATTTGATTAATTAATTATATTAGTGATTTTAATATTATTACCATTTTAAGATTATGCGTATGTAATTATTTTAAAATAGTAATAGTGACTGTGTTCATGACAGTTATTTACTTTTATAGGGGATGTCTAAAGTGGAGACAAATCACGTGAAAATTTTATGATTATGATTGGTCAATGCAGATAAGATTCTGATTAGTCAAGGGATATAAAGATGATTAATATCACCTAATGACAAGGAAATTATAAAATGTTATTTTTTTGTTTTGTTTTTGTTTTGGTTTTGGTTTTGGTTTTGGTTGTGATTGGATTTGGATTTGGTTTTAATTTAGTTTTTTTGTAATGATAAGTTTTTTTTCATAATTTAACTAGTTTATTTTTTTATAAAGGTTAAAAGTATCAATCTTTTTTTCTTAATGTTAGGAAAAAAATATATTTTTTTGCTTTTCGGTTTAATTGTCATATCTGCCACCTCTTCAGTTATTATTTCTGCTGTGCCTTCAATTATTACCTCTGTTATATCTTTAGTTATTATCTCTACTATATCTTCAGTCATTACGGCTTCTTTAATATTAAAGCTCACATCAGATGAAAAATGGTGTCATCTTTTTAATATAAATGGTTTTTTAGAAATTCCAATGGAGGATTTTAATGATAATTAGTGGCTATTGGTAATGAATATTTGAATGAAATGAGATTCATATAAATATATAAATGATAATATTTAGAAAATTTTCACCTGTCATTTTATGAAGTATCAGAAATCAAGTACTCGATAAAAGGAAAACATCCCAAATAAAAAATATCAAATAATAAGAATATGATCATCTGATCTCTGTCTTGCAAAAATTAAAGTTACTTGAATAGTCTTTTCAAAAATAGTTTAAGTAGAATGATATAAAAATACTCCAAATCATATATATTCTTTATTAGAAGTTGATAGGATAAAATGGACAAAAACTATCAGAAGTTTAGTTGAAATAGAGGTAGTCAAAAATTATTCATCTCCAGCAATCACAGCTATCATCAAAGAATATGTAATAATAGAATTAGATCTTGATACATGTGTACATGAGTTGACATGCAAAGAAATGATGAACATTAAATATAAAGTTTATAGACCTATAGAAACTCATCTTATTGGAAATTTGAATTTAAAATTTGATATTTTGGAAGCTATTTCTTATTTAATAAAACAGGAATATCTTGTTGAAAATTATGATATCTCCCAATGATCAACTAAAGATATCGTATTTATACATTCAGAATAATTAAAGAAACTTAAGTGTCATGAATGGTTAACACTTATAGATTTAATATACAAAACTAATTGGTATAATTGGCATTTATTTATTCTTTACATCTGTAATACTTACAGATACTAGAATGTGAGTGCCCACTTTTTTGTGAGTAGTGAGGATGGAAATATAGTTACGGAAGTATTAATTATAATTCGTAATAAATATTATCACTGGTCTCCCTGTTATATACTTTTGAATTATAGTAGTATCAAAGCTAAAAGTATTAAAAAGATCTTTCCTGGTATAACTGCTGACAAATAAGAATGCCAAATAATCCTTTATGTTATTCATGTTATGAAAATGTGGATGCAAAAAATTTATAAAAAAAAAACTTGGGATATCATGATCATGATAATGCACAAAAGAACAAGAATTAATTGTGAAAGCCTTGTTCAGACTGCTATTAATCATTATTTTATTCTTGCTATACAAAACTATATTAAAAAAAACTATGTAAAAAATATATAATAATGGAATTTATAGATTCATCAATATTTTTCTCTGCTCTTACAAGTCACAACTACAAATCTATTAGAATTCTTTCATAGCGAATTGAAGAGAAAAATATCTTTATTACATAATTTAATTAGTACAAGATTTTTTTATTCATTTTATTTGTCCGCCTATCTAATTTTGTGCCTAAATTTTTCTTTCTTTAGATACTATTTATGATATTGTCAACATTGATTATAAAAAAAGATCTGAATCTGAAAGTGTCATCTTCGATTTTAGTATCAAGAAAATATCTGCATATGATATCAATAAAGATATTCTTGAGAAAATTTATAGATTTCCCTTCCTATTCCAATAACTAATCATTAAAGAGATCCATGCTGTAATAAATAGGCTTGAAAAAGGAAAAGATATGTCTGGTTTAACTTCTCATGATTGTCATTACATATTTTATAATCAATATTTATTATCATGCAAGCATATCTTTCATGAACACATGCATAGTAATAAATTATTGATCACTAACATATGGAGAATATTTTGGAAAATGTTTGAAGAAAGCAGATTTGAGATTTATAAAAGTCATGAATCATTTATTGAATATGTACAAATGGAATAACAAAAAAAGGCTGAAGATCGAAGACTTGCTATAACTGAATTAACCAAAAGAATGCGTGATAGATACTGAAATATTGAAGAGACAAATGATGTTGAGAGGATGATGGCTTTTATCTCTATGTTAGAAATCTTCTTGAATTCGATTATCTTGCAATTTAATCAAATGAAAGAAAAAAATTAAAATTATTAGTATTTAGTTAATAATAAAAATGCAGATTATAATAATACTTCTCTTCATTATCAAGACTTAAATAAGTTTTAAAAATTGATATATTATATTAAAAAATTTATCATATTATATTTATAATATATGCAAGATTTACTTCTGACAAAATATAATTATCTTCTCAATAAGATAATTTATATAAGTTTATTTCTAATTAAAATGTGATTATCTTCTTAATAAGATAATTTATACATATTTTACTTATAATAAAATACTCTCTTAATAGAACAAGAAGAAAATAAGATAAGATATATGATAAAATATATGTATTTTATTAAAGAAAAATACTAATTAACTATTCTTAACTCAGTAATAATTACTTTTATCAAACTTAATTATTCTTCTTGATCACTTCTTGACTTTTTATATATAATATTTCTCTTGCTATGTTAATTACAAATTATTTCTAATATGATGTTTTACTTAATTTAATCAAGAACAAGTAAAATTTAAAAAGAATAATCACAAGAAATATTGAATACATGATAATAAAGAATTTAAAATTAGCAAAATATTAAGTTATTCAAAGCTAAAGTGAGAAAAGAAAGAAAACTAATAATAATTAATTAGAAAATTATTAATTTAATAAAATTATAAATTAAGTATGATATACATAGTTAAATTAATAAAAGAATAAGACTAAATATAAGTAATAATATAAACTAAAAATAGAATTAATTATAAATAAAATTAATTAATATAAATTATTTATTTATCTAATTTAGTAGTGATTAGTAATTATTATATCATATATTATGACTGCGCTATATACTGTACCATATCTACTATACTATATGAATAGGTAATTGGTCATAATATAGCTAAACTATTAATGAATTATTTATAAATCATAGTTAATATTAAGCAAATTATATATCTTTAATTCTGAATTATTCTAAATTATTACTAAATTATAATTAAAGTATAATTAAAATTATTATTAATATATTATTATCAAAGTGATATAAAATTTCTTAATTTCTTAATCTTTTTCTAGTTATGCAAAATCATATTTTCTTATAATTTTTATTTATTTTATAAATATTTCTATTTTCTTATTAATTATTATTATATTTTTATTTTTAAACATTAAATTATATTTGAAATCTATATTTTATTATTATTTGTAATATGATATTCATGTATATAATAGAATAGTATAGTGAAAGATCATTTTTAATTTTGGTAGAATAGTTACACTTGAATGATAATTTCAAATATCTTTTCTTATCTTTTGATATCTTTCAATATTCTTTCACATCTTTCCACATCTTCTCACATCTTTCTATATCTTTTGACATTTTTTCATATCTTCTCATATCTTTTCATATCTTTCTATATCTTTTAACATCCTTTTATATACTCTGATGTTCTTTAACATTCTTTGACATCTTTTAATATACTTCCATGTAACCTATTTATAATTATTTATACTATAATACTTTAATTATATTCTGTATATTAAATAGTATTAGATAGTAATATTATAATAATTTTTATATCTGAAAAATGTATAAAAGAACCTATTATCCCAGCTTGAAATAAATAGTTTTAGATTAAATTATTTGGAAAATATAATTTAAAAACTTATTATTATAATAATAATAATCTTTTTAAAAGATTTCTTTTCAAATTATACTAGTATCCTTTCTTTCACTTGGTTTTATTTCTTTGACTATATAAAGTTAATTTTTGATTTTTGAATTATAATATTAT